TACGGCAACTGGACCGTGGCCACTTGTTTTTCGTGTTTTTTCAGGAAGGTATACGGAATACTCGGCCTTCCCAATCCGAGTGTCCGGCGGGGGGTGTGGTTCCTTTCAGTTCTTTTGCCGGCTCACCGACGCTAAATGGCACCTCAAACATAGGCTCGTAGTCTAGAACCAAGTCACACCTCCTGGCACACGTACCCCGTCTTGTGCCGGGCGCTCTGCTTCGTAAACACCCAGACGTCCCCCGACCACGCCATCTATCATCTCCGAAGTCCCGCGGTACAGGCCACTTTCCTCCTGGGAGGTCATTTTCACCACAATAAGTTCAGGGACGACTTGCATAGCCTAAGATCCTACTCACACGCCGGGATGGGGCGTACACCAACGTCCAGCTTCTCATGTATGCTCCACCATGGGTTGCTACCCCACGTACGCTCCCGAGTAGACCCCTCTGCCGAAAGTTTGGCCAACAATTCCTTACTGCTTTATACTCGCCTCTCTCCAATCGAAAACAATGCATTGTGCGTGCCGCACATCTAGCTCCGCAGTTTTTGCGTGGTTGGTCCGGTCGTTCAGCTTGCTCGACGTGAGTAATAAGCTTTGCTTTGATGGCTCTATGTTTTATCGATCCACTTCAAGCAACGAACACCCCCCCCCCCTCCACCGTTCGATCCATTTTGGATCTCACGCCGGAGAGTTTTGGGGTGTCTTAGCTCTAAGTCCTCCACCGCCCAATGGGGGACTTTAGTATTTTTTTTAATGCCGTACCAATAGGCATTAACCTTAGGTAAGCTTGTGCTTACTTTGGACTGTACCCTCCTCATCCTCTGGGGGAGGTAGAGACGGGGGGGGGCGGGCGCATGGCCTCTATTTTTCAGGGGGGGTTGGGAACTGGTTGGGGGTCGGGTCTATGTGTACTGCATCCTTGAATTGTCCCCTCACTATAGCTACTGTGGATTTTCAGTAAACAGCTATCCTTACTCAACGCGTCTATGTGTCAGGCAATCTCCAATACAAATCAATCTGTGAGGTTTCAGTATACAGCTTTCGTCACTCAATGCGTCTATGTGTTCGG